CGGCTCCTCCCGGACACCTGACTCCCACGTCCAATCAGGTAAGAGCAGCTATTCCCATTTTCTTTTAACTATTTCTCCCGGGACTATTCCTCCCCCCAGTCATGTAGCCCCTCCGCTCAGTCTCTCCGGGTCTGTCTGGAAGTCAGACAAGGGACTTTGACAATAGATCAGAGTTTGACAATATAAAGGGGAGGAAGGAAATAGAGAAAGTCTTTATTTTTACATATGAGGGACCATGCACGTATAGATAGATAGGCTCTCAAAATACCTCAACAATGCTTGCATCCAATCAGATTGTTCAGGTATTTTGAGAGCCCACGGAGCCGACTAGCAAGATCCTGAAGCTTGGCCCAGGGGGAGATTCCCCCATCCACACAGTTTAGCATAGATGGAGGAATCTGTTGCACTTTTTCCATCTGACCATAGAAAATCTCCAGATAATCTATAGGTGTATGACCAGCTTTAGAGTAGGAGAGAGCTGCCTTCAACACATAATTAGTTAATACAGCAGTCAGTGGTGGGCTTAAACATAACTAGTCAATGCAATAGTCACTGGTGGGCATATGCTTCTTTAGTCAACACAGGAGTCAGTGGCAGGCATATGTATCATTAGTCAATACAGCAGTCAGTGGTTGGCACAGTCACCAAAGGTCACCAGGTACTGCCCAAGTACAAACTGATATTCACGATAGATAGATAGATAGATAGATAGATAGATAGATAGATAGATAGATAGATATGAAGATTAGTGATACCCTGATCTAGATATGCATCTGGGACAGACAGTGAACACCTCCCTCACTTCCCCAGACTGTATCAAGTGGAAATGGGAAATGCGCTGGTCTGGCAGACTTTGAACAAGATGCTTGGTGCCCTACACCATATGAATATTACAAACCAGAAGCATGGATTAGCCATCTTGAAGACTACCTCCACCTTCCCACCTGGTGATCTACATGACAATGGGAGGATGGGGGTTCCAGCATCTGCCTGACCCACATCTAGTATAATCCACTATGTCCTCTATGTCCCCCTGCACAACATTATGATATACCTATGCTCAATGTAATTGCTGTACCTAGGTAGATGCCTTATCAGTGATACAAAAGTTATAGTATTTGCCTGGTCTTCAGATTATAGACTAACACTTTGTAGTGTCTGGTATAGATTCATATGTGCAGATATTCTTGAAGTCTGTGAAGCACTCTAGGCAGGGACGAAACTAGGGGAGGGACAAGTGCCCTGGGTGCTGCATTAGGAGGGTAGCAAACTTATTAGGGGCGGGACTCATGCGGTAGGTCAGCCACTATTGGAAGGCAGTGGCGTCACAAGGGGGGTGCGGCCGGCACCCGATTGAAACCATTGGAGAGGTGACACCAAAATGACTGACAGTCTGACAGTCATTTTGGTGTCACCCCCTCTGAAATGGTGGGCACTCTGTCATGGACTCGGGCATACCTTATCCTGCCGAGTGACTGTCCCCTCCTCTCTCTGCCGGCATCCATCACCAAGATGGCCGCCGGCAGGTATCAATGGGATCGCCACGCACGTGCGATGACGTCAACGGGGTGTCACCCGATAACCGCTCCGGTTGCCTCAGGACACCCCTGAGGAGGCATGTCACTTTATATTTTTTAAAGATTCAGCTGCTGTGAGGTCCTGAGCTTCCAGGGGACCTCACAGCAGCCTTCTGGGGAACCACAGCGGTGCCTAAATACAGCGGTGCCCGCACATGAGACTTGATCAGATCCATCTGTCCTGCTGTGATCTTACATCTTCCCCCCTGAGATCCTTCATCTGCCCCCCTGAGATTTTTAATTGGACCCCCTGAGATCCTCCATCTGCCCTGCTGCAATCTTCCACCTGCTCTGCTGCAATCTTCCATCTACCATGATGCAATCTTCCACCTGCTCTGCGGCAATCTTCCATCTGCCTCCCTGAGATCCTCTATCTGCCCTGCTACGATCTTCCATCTGCCTCCCTGAGATTCTGCATCTGTCCTGCTGCAATATTTCATCTTCCCCCCAGAGATCCTTCATCAGTCCTGCTGCGATCTTCTATCTGTCCCCCTGAGATCCTCCATCTGCTCTGCTGCAATCTTTCATCTGCCCCGCTGAGATCCTCCATCTGCCTGCTGTGATCCTCCATCAGCCCCGCTGCAATCTTCCATCTGCCCCGCTGCAATCTTCCATCTGCCCCCCTGATATCCTCCATCTGTCTTGCTGCCATCTTCCATCTGCCCCCCGAGATCCTACATCTGTTCTGCTGCAATCTTCCATCAGTCCTGTTCCCATCTTCCATCAGCCCTGCTGCCATCTTCCTTCTGCCCCAGAGATCCTCCATCTGCCCTGCTGCGATCTTCCATCTGCCCCCCTGAAATCCTCCATCTGCCCTGCTGCGATCGTCCGTCTTCCCACAAAATCCTCCATCTGCCCTGCTGCAGTCTTCTACCTGCTCTGCTGTGATCTTTCATTTGGCCCACTGAGATCCTCCATCTGTCATGCTGCGATCTTTCATCTGCTTCCCTTAGATCCTCAATCTGCCCTGCTGCGATCTTCCATCTGCCCCCATGAGATCCTCCATCTGCCCTGCAGCGATTTTCCATCTGCTCTTGCTGTGATCTTCCATCAGTCCTGCTGCAATCTTCCATCTGCCCTGCTGAGATCCTCTGCATCTGCCCCTGCTGAGACCCTCTGCATCTGCCCCTACTGAGATCCTCAGCATCTATATAATATATTGCTGGGATTTGTAGTCCTCTATAGCTGGGGGTATTCTGCACTGCTATATAATGTATTGCTGAGATTTGTAGCCCTCTGTAGCTGGTGGTATTCTGCATTCCTATATAATGTATTGCTGGGACTTGTAGTCCCTCTTTGGCTTGGCGTCAGTGGCAAAACTACCAAGATCATAGCGGCTACAGCTGTGACTGGGCCCTTGTGCTTTACCACTGTCCTATAATCATTAGTCTGTATTGTTTTAGAAAAACTGTCACATGACACTATAAAAAAAGCATTGGTAATTGGTTTCGGCAAGTACTTGAGGAAAAGTATCGGTACTCGTACTGACTTGTGTGACTGTGGAGGGACATTAGAGTGTAAGCTCCTCTGCTACAGATACTGTTGTGATTGGTTCAGTGTTTTCTGTACTGCACTGTGGTATATGCCAGAGCTATAGTTCCTTAGGTATTCCACTGTGACTAATTTGTTTAGCAAAGCATACAGCATGTCCCCCGGCAGATGATAATACACAGCACACACTCACAGGGAGAAAAGAAGAAGAGAGCCCAGAAGTGGATCTTTAATTAACAAAGCAGAACTGGAGAATGAGGCAATTTGAAGCCTCACCTCTGCTGTGGATCAGTAGGGGCACCGCCGTGACAAAAGAAGAAGAGAGCCCAGAAGTGTAGGGTGGGGACGGGGTGTGTGGATGGAGAATTTTTCCCAGGGGGGGGGAGCAACTTTAAGTCTTTGCCCCGAGTGACGTAATGTCTAGCTTCGCCACTGGCTTTAGGAATGCTTTGATTTGTGCAAAATGACAACGGTGATGCTGTAGACATTTGCATAGGATATGCGTGTGTTTTAATCACTTTGTGCTAATTTGAACATTTCCAGCAATGTTCAGAAAATTTCCACATGTGCAATGTATTGTGAAGGCCAACAACGGGAAAAAAAAAATGTAAATAGAGGAGGGAAGGATTGGGGCCTCTGCCAGGTTTTAATTGCCCTCACTTCTTCTCAGGACAGGAAGTTATGGGACATCTTTTCAATGGGGGTACAGACAAAAACAAAAACACATTTTAGTAGAGTAAAGAAGATTAATGTGTGACAATGTTTTCATTGCTGTCTGTGTGTTCATGTCCCAGTGACTACAACGCCCCTCATTTTTTTGTATGAACTTCACAATTACAGGAAAATTAAATAGACCAAAAGAGAACAACTAATTAAACTAAATAAAGTAAAGTCTATGGTTAGGGTTTACATACACTTTAACCATGTGAAGGACCAGTGGAAACTCAGAAGCCTTCAAGGACTGCTATGCCTCTTGCCTAAATGTCTCTCTCTATTGTTTGAAATGTAGCATTTAAGAAATGAAGCATTCAACCCCTCCGTTTGTTACTTTGTTCTGGCAATTAACTTGCATATTTTTATGAAGCCCACACTCCTACCATCATTAGGAGGCTACCACAAAGATTGCATGTGATATTTAAATACATATAACTGTTAAAAAAATTCTGTCCCTGCAGAACCAGCAATGAAAAATATAAGCAAAACTAAAGTAAAATGTAAAATAATTTATAAAACAGCAGACTAGTTTTATGAAATTGTAAGTTGGTACTACAAGTTATGGAGAAAGATTCACTACATAAAGTTCTGTCTCTGCAGGGTGGTCTGGGTCATCCTTTGTGTTTACATTCATATACTATTTTTATAATTAGTGTGTTTTTTTATCCATAGTATATCCCTTCCTTGCATCTATCAACATTGTATCGCTAAATCCCATCTTTCTTTGTAGCCTTTCCAGACTTTTTATTATCACTGAGTTGAGCTGAGTGCATTGTTATATCACATTCCTTCATCTTCTTAATTGTCTCCACATTTTCTCCCAAAGAATCTGCCTGCACATGGAGGATTGTCTGATAGTAACTAAACTCCCACTCTTCTTATCACTATCACTACCTCACTGCTTACATAGATTCTGTAATAGGACCCTGAGAATTTTGGTTATTGATGGAGAGAATAAGAGCTTAACTGTTACATGGCACAGGACCAAGAAACTAATTGTTTTACAGCTGACTGAAGTCACATCTGGAGAACAAGAGGTTAAACATAGCATTGTCCATTAGCCGACTTACAGTTCCTTCCTCATCCCTCTTCCTGTAGGAGGACGGCTGGTTTCCCTGGGAAAACAAGTAACTCATAACTTTTTTTGTCACTCCTCCCCAACTTTTTCTGCTATTCTATTCTTCTGCAGTTTCCTACACAACCTTTTCGTCTGGTAACACAATCGTGTGTAAATGTCAGCAGCACTGACGGTGCTTACAGACTTAGTCTGTGCCATAGACTTCATGCCTTGGAGAACAAGATTACCTCAACAGGAGCTCCAATGTGACAGGATAAAGAAGATCTTGAGAACCCTCCACTAATTTAATCATTATACCTTCAATAAGGATACTTGCTTCTGGCTGGGACTTCTCAACACTTGAGAAATATGGCTCGGACAATGAAGGTGATCAGACAGGTCTTCAGTCTTCTTTTTATCTACTGCTTCCACAGAAGTTTTCAAAATTCAGTTTCTTTAATGGTGAGGTTTCGCATTCAGGAGGAAGTATCCCTTGGCACAGTGATTGGACGTATATCTGATGCATCAGGCTGGACAGAGGATGCAAATGAAGAATACAAGCTTATACAAGAGACCAACACTTTTCCAGTACAAGTGGGTTTGAAAAATGGATCTATAAGCACCACAGGTCGTCTGGACAGAGAAAGTCTTTGTCATGTTCATGGACGCTGCATTCTGTCTTTTAATGTTCTAGCAACCAAGGCCTTAGCTCTAGTTCATGTGGAAATTGAAATCCTGGACATCAATGATAATGAACCAATGTTTCCAAAAGCTGAACTAGATGTAGAGATCTCTGAAAGTGCTTCCCTTCGTACCAGAATTCCACTTGACAGAGCTTGGGACCCTGACAGTGGCAGCAATGCTGTGAAACTATATACTCTCTCTCCAAATGAACACTTTACATTGGAAATTATTTCTGGTTCTGATGGTGTCAAACATCCCGAACTAGTGGTGGTAAAAGAATTGGACAGAGAACTGCAATCTACTTTCAGCCTTGTGTTAACAGCATTAGATGGAGGATATCCACCGAAATCAGGGATAACACAGGTTAGGATTAATGTGTTGGACTCCAATGATAACAGCCCTATTTTTGAGGAAAGCTCTATAATTTTAGAAGTCTCAGAAGACACATCACCTGGTACAATTCTTATAAATCTCACAGCTACTGACCCAGATCAAGGCCCAAATGGGGAAATTGAGTTTTCATTTAGCAAACACACACCCCACCATGTTCTCAGCATGTTTAGTATTGACCCCAAGTTAGGTGAAATAGTTCTGAAACAGCCACTTGACTATGAAAGCAGACATTCTTATGAAATAGATGTACAGGCAAAAGATTTGGGCCCTAATCCCATCCCTACTCATTGCAAGGTAGTCATTAAAGTTCTGGATATTAATGATAACACCCCTGATATTAAAGTCACTTGGGCTACTCAAGATTCCCCTGAGATCATTGTGTCTGAGGCTGTTCCATTGGGCAGTTTTGTTGCTTTGGTTATGGCAAATGATCCAGATTCAGGTTCAAATGGAGATGCGCACTGTCACCTTATTCAAGACCATGAACATTTTAGGCTTCAAAAAGCTAAAGGAAACAGTTATATACTGACCACCAATGCCATTCTTGACAGGGAAAAATGGGAGGTGTATGACATAACTATCCAAGCCCAAGATCAAGGTAAACCGTCTTTTACAGCTAAAAAGTCATTAAAAATATTTGTTCGCGATGCCAATGACAATGCTCCCATTTTTCAGAGGCCTATATATGACGTTTCACTATATGAAAACAGAGGTCCTCCCACTCATCTTCTCACTGTAAATGCTCAGGATGTTGACTTTGGTGAAAACGCAGAGGTTACCTACAAGATTATTGACTCTGTTATCTCAGGGACACCACTATCTACCTTTTTCTCTGTCCAGTCCAAAACAGGTGAAATTGTTGTGCTTAAGGCCATTGATTATGAGGAAATAAAAGAAATCCAATTCTTTGTCCAAGCAGAAGACAATGGTGATCCTCGACTCAGCAGCAATGCTTCTGTCAAGGTGTTGGTAAGAGACCAAAATGACAATAGCCCATTAATCGTGCAACCTCAACTTAAAAGAGGCCATGCCAGTATCACCATCCTTGTGAATGCTGAAAGTGGATTCTTTCTTTCTGCCTCAGAAGTTACCAACTCAGAGGCTTTAGGATACACATCAGATGAGATATTATCAGAAACTGCCAAACTTAACAAACACCCAATATTTCAAGTAATTGCCACTGATGCAGACTCAGATGAGAATGCTAAACTTCTCTACCATCTGTTGGATGACTATCAAGGATTATTTGCTATGGATGAACATCTTGGATACATATACATAAACTCCAGCAATGCCAGCAACCTAATAGGTAGTGTCATGGACTTACAGGTCACTGTCAGAGACTGTGGAATTCCATATCAGGAAACCAAAGCTCAACTAACAATTATGTTCACTAGCCACTTGGACCACTTGAAAAATTCAGCTAGTGAAACCAATAATAAGCTGAGTCTGTCTGTGGTAATTGTTATTTGTCTGTCTGTTCTTCTAGTTGTATGTCTCCTCATATTGGCACTCATAATGTCCTTTTGTCGAGTAGATAGAAAGGACAACAGAGCATACAACTGCAGGGAGGAAGAATCTGCCTATAGGAAGCAACCAAGAAGGCCTCAAAGGCAGATACAGAAGGCAGATATTCATGTAGTACCTGTACTTAGAGGTCGGCAACAACCACAACCAGTGACACCAGTAGAGGAGGCCAAGTTATTTCCTATGCCAGATGAAGGACAAGAAGTTCCAGAGGATCAGACTCTCCATACTCCTTTTCATCTCACACCTAGACTATATCGCACACTGAGGCACCATCATAACCAGGAAATATTAAGTGAAGATACTACAGATTTAGAGCAGTCTTTCTCATTACCTGCCTCTGTGTGTCGAACTTTACAGTATCAGAGACAGAGAAGCTACTCTAGAGAGAACTTTGAAGACTACAATGGAACTCTTCCATTTAGTAATAAAACCTTAAAGAACCCAGGTAGTCCTCAAATAAGAGTCCATGATAACGTCAGCTCTTCTGAACCCATGATATTCAATGAAGAAAGCTTTTCTCCAGCAACTTCTCTCACTCTAAGAAGACAAAAGAATGCTGAACAATCATCTAAAGAGCAGATCTTGAGAAGCCTGGTGCGACTCTCGATGGTGGCACTAGCAGAGAAGGAAGCTGTGGAACTTACCATGCAGTCACCACATGTGCAGGTAAGCTTGCTTAATGAATTCATAATTGAACATTAGCTTTATGGTTGTTCTATAGTGTCTACATTTTTGGTGCCTACCTTTTTAGTGATTATTGCTAGTTTTTTCTATGTGCTTTTGAAATGACCTGTTCTGTTAGGATGCAGTACTATTTATATGACTAATGACTCTTAATCTATAGATGTAAATTATAACCTATAATAGATGTAAATATAACATACATACTCACTAGATTATTTTAGAACAAACCATTTTGGGGCCAAAACCTTGTCCGTTTTGAATAGAGTGGGTAAAATGAAAGACCTGTGCAGAGCTGCAGCTAGTGCAGTATATAAAGTGGTGTTCCTCTACTTCCTTTATTCTGTTTAGTCAGCCAGCATGTCTAAATGATTTTTACAGTAATAAGCTGACCATTTGGTTGAAGGTAATGGGATCGAACCAGAGCTGAATACCCTTCCTAGGCCTGTCTTATGACGTCAGCTCCTAATTGACTGGCTAGACCCAGTACCACACTTCCAGGATTGTTTGTCACAGGCACACAAAGCTCACCAAGAGTGCAAAGATAGGGCTGATAGACCAACAATGTACCTATTGTGGGTCAGTACTTCTAGACCTAGAAAAGTAGGGCAAACTGTCACCCTCTTTAACTAGCAGTTTGGTTCTAAGTGTATGGACTCAGCTGCCACCTATTGAGTGTGAGATATGAGTACAGGAGTTACAGAGAAAACAGATTATTGTGTATAATACCAAAAAATAACGTTCCTCCATTATCTACATTCCTCATTCTGTTTAGTCATTGCTGTTTTCTTTTTTATAACAAAAGATTCATGGTACATGAAGTTTAGCAACAATGTGAATGATTATACATCTCAGCATTTAAAGTTAAAGGCCCACCATGTGCCTGGGATAATTTTTCATAAAATATGACACCTAGGTCCCGTTCACACCTGTGCATTGCAATAACACACTGCAACATGCAATTTTATTGTGTGTTATTCTAAATTTGCAGGGGCGCTTATACCACAGTGCCACCCATTTCCAATAGCAACCCATAGTGCTAACACAACACACATATGCACTGCAGCAGTGTGTTGAGCTAGTGCATTGAAGTGCTATTCAAAATGAATGGCAACACTCTTTGCTACATGTGTTGTCGTGCATTTACAAAAACGAAAAGTAAAACGTGTTTTTCTGTGCGTTAACGCAACACATAGGTGTTAACAGGTCCTAAATGTTAGATTTGTGTGTTGTGTTAAGAAAAGTTTGCTATTCAGCAACTTTAGTGTTTTGCAACCAATTCAAATTGAATGGGCTTCTTAATGCAATGCACTAAAAACACTGACACAACACCTTGAGTGTGAACGCCCCGGGGCCTTAGATAATGAATACATTAGCACTTTCACTGTTTGCCGATAGCCGACTGCGAAGTCAGCCCAGTTCTCCAGGAAACCAAAACCTTCCTTCTGACACCAGCTCCGGAGCCACTTGTTAAGCTCCCTCAACTCGCGCTGTCTGTCCGGAGTGGCTCTTGGCACCGGCAGTATCTCTGAGAAAACTACCGTGGAGGTCCTTTCCTACATAAAACAGTATAACAATGCCAGTGCATTTATTATAAGGGACAATGCTTGCTGAGCTTGTCTTTGTTATAATCTGTTAGCATTTTTTGTCAGTCTGGTTATCTTATTGTTTCAAAAAAGGGTTTCCATAGAATAGATTCAGCACTTATTTTTGTATGTAGTTAATGGGTTTTGTGTGTTAATATTGTTTCTGTACTTATAGAGCCTAATTGATGTTATGTAATGATTCTTCTTGTTAAAACTAGTACTGAACAGCTTTTCCATTCACTGTATGCAACAATAGAGGTTATATTTATTATATTATTTTTCACAAATACCCTGGAGTTGTCTATCCCATGAAATAATACATGAGACCAATACACATTTTGCTTGCTGAATTCAGTTGTTATATCTACTCTAAATGTGTGCACTGAGCGTGCTACAGCCTATATAAAGTCATAGAAATATGAGGGTTGCCAATGCTGACCTCCTCTTGAGAATGTAAGTATCTTCGACCACATGTCATACTTTCATACATATCATCCATGTTTGTGGTTAGATCTGATAAAAATCGAGCTATGTAAAGGCAAAGGCTAATCATTTAGAACAAAACGCTTTCAAGTTTAGATAACGCTGCTCCTTCCTCCCACCCAGTGCTAAGCTACCCATTAAGTTAACCAGACACTTAAACTGGGTATACACGGTAGAATTTAATTTGTTCCATTTTCCAATAGTTAAAGAAGTACTCCAGGCAAAACTTTTATTAACCCTTGCAGTGGGGCTACCCCCCGACTGCAAGGGTTAACTGCTCATTTTTGTCTTGGTGCTAAAATAACTAAGTTATACTCACCTGAACTACTCAGCCAGCTGCCTGCTTCTCTAGTCTCTGAAGCCTGTGTCCTCTTATTCTTCGAAATTGGAATGTTCCTCAGTGGCCTCATGCGTATGCACTGTGTATAGAACGTGATGATTTACAGGACCTTAGAATGCGGCAGAGGAGAGGGAGAAAGGCTGGAAGGACCAGTCTAAGAACAAGCCAGCTCCGTGATTCAGGTGAGTATAACTTTCTTTTTAGCACCTAGACAAAAACAAGCAGTTAACCCTTGCGGTGGGGGTAGCCCCACTGCAAGGATTAATAAGGGTTGATATCAGTCTGGATGTCACAACACTTCTTAAAACTCAATCTTTCAAAAACTGAGCTCATGATTCCCCCCACATGCACCTTCCCCCAACTTTTCCCTTGAGATTGTTAACACAACTATCCAGCCCTCCCCCCATGCCAAGGTCCTAGGTGTCATCCTTGACTCGGACCTCACCTTTCTTTCCTACATCCAATCACTATCCAAATCCTGCCGCCTTCACCTTCGTAACATCTCCAAAATAAGCCCCTTCCTCGCCAATGAAACCACAAAACTGCTCATCCACTCCCTTGTTATCTCTCGTCTTGTCTATTGTAACTCCCTCCTCATTGGCCTACCTCTACACAGGCTATCATGAATGCAGCTGCTAGACTCATTCACCTAACTAACCGATCGGTGTTTGCAACCCCCCCAAAGGATAACATTCTTAATATTAACAACGACTTACAAGCCATCCACAACTCCCATTTATATCGCAAACCTTGTCTAAAAGTATCACCCTAACCGTCCCCTCCGCTCCTCCCAAGACCTCCTGCTTTCCAGCCCCCTTGTCAACTCCTCCCATGCTCGCCTCCGGGACATCTCTAGATACTCCCCATCCTATGGAACTCTCTACCCCAACCTGTCCATCTATCTCCCACTCTGACTGCATTTAGGCGATCCCTAAAGACTCATCTCTTCAGAGAAGCCTATCCCACCTCAACCTAACAACTGAACTGACACTTTCTCAAACAATTCATCCCCACACAGCTACCTCCTCATGTATCACTTGCCCCTCCCTTTTAGATTGTAAGCCCTCACGGGCAGGGCCCTTCTTACCATCTTCTCTTGAATTGTATTGTGTTTGTAATGTCTTCCTTATATTGTAAAGTGCGGCGCAAACTGTTGGCGCTATATAAATCCTGTATAATAATAATAATAAAAGTTTTGCCCAGAGTTCTTCCTTAATGGGGTCAAATCGATAAATCATTTCAACTGTAGTGACAAAAAAAATTGAAGGAGCGCGATGGATAATTTTTCTGGAACAAAAGAAATTCTAGCAGTGAATGTGGTTTTCATTCTGGAAACTCCATTCATTCCAAAATGGAATGTCAAAACATTTGTTAAGACTCTGATGTAGTTAATGACATTCAGAAAAGGTTTTTTGTAAAAAATGTTGTATGAAAATCTACCAGTGTATACCCAGCTTTAAGGTGCCCATACATCTGCCGATTATCGTACGATAATCGCTGGAAATCCTGCGATCGTACGATAATCGGCAGGTGTATGGAAGGCGTGCGACCGTTTCTACTGTGCGGTCGCACTTCTTTTGTCTTACGAGCATGTTTGAAAACCAGCTGAAAATCGTACTATTGTCGGCGGGTTCGTGGCCTGCTCGTAAGGCAGATGCCGCACGGGCCGCTGTGCGCAAGCGCACACTGCCTGTTCAGCATTGCAGCCATCAGAAGCCCGCCCCTCAGCGGGGTGGGCTTGTGATGATCGCAAGTACGATCTGCCTGTCCAAGATGGGCAGATCGTACGTTTTTTAAATTACCTTACAACCATCGCAAGACAAAAGTCTTGCAATGGTTGTAAGGTGTATGGCCAGCTTTAGAATAGCACATTAGATGTACACGTACAAACTTACCAGCTGTAGGCTTTGCTATCCCAAGCATACATATTTATGTGAATGAAAAGGGGAGGAGCGATTGTGGGTAGACATCTCCAGGCACTGATATACAATATCTTTGAGAAAAAGAATAGCTATCAGACCATGTTTTACTTGCTGCTGAGATATTGTGGCATGAAACACCTAAATTGGATGGCCAAAATCTCTGCCTTGCTTTTGTAGACTCTGTAGCATGCCACTGTAAATACTGCTGACCCAGTGTACTCAGGAGCAGGAGACAGCAAAAGAGAACCTGCCCTTTGGAACACCTAGAGGGCATCACCTAAGATAAGACTCTCTTCTTGCCTTGTTGTGCCATATCATACTAGTGGCTTAGCCTCCATTCACAACTGAGCGGTTTGTTTCCCGATTCCTGTTTTCATGTTTCCTAAAGAGTGACAACTCTCATTATTTTCAATGGTGCCCATTTACACCTGAACCTTGTAGCTTTAAAATGTGCACAAGGTTTTCTCAGGCAGAATCTTGTGTTTGTAGCCCCATAGACTTCACAAATGCCTGAAAAAGGCACGTAACAAATGTTTTTCTGCGACTGTATGCCTAACAACTGTCTCCTCCTCCTAGTAACTAGCTTTCCATTGGCAAAATTAAAAATGCCTGCAAAACATGAAAAAATATGCAAAGAAATGCTTTAAAATCACCTAATAAGGCTCATGCTCCAGTGTAAATGCGGGCTAAAGTGTGTGTAATCTATAACAATAAAGACTATGACTATTAGCTGTCTCCCGGTACCAGTACTATACCTAGCTGAGCTGGACATCTGGTGGAAGGAATTGTGTTTCTTGGAGCTCATTTATATCCTATCCCTGCATCCAAGTGCTGCGGATGCTTTTGAATGATACCCAAATCAAACATTTTCTAAGGGAATTCAGTGCATCGTGTATGAGGAAGTTACTTTGCTGCCAAACTAACACAAAAATTATTTGAGGAGGAAATAAAAAAACTCTTCTGAATATTCTGTAAAAAAAATGCTGTATAAAGCCAATGGTAAGGTGGCTGTTTTGTTTAGAAGCTTGGAAGTATCTAAATGTTTTTATCAGTACTTTTACAGTAAAAACAGTAACTGAACTGACCATTCGGCTGATGGTAGCAAAATCGAACCAGAGTTGAACTTATACTTCACCCCCACCCTTCCAGCACAACTGTCTAATAGAGTGGAGAGGGATTAAAACACCTGTCAGGTTTTTATTGTTATCTGTGTCCCCGTTAGGGAGATTCACCCTCTGTTGACCATTATCACTGAAAGTGAAAGAAAATCACAATTTTGGGTTGTCATCAGAACCAGTGACGTGCCGTGCCTTCTGTGCTGGGTGGCATCCCCCAGCTCGCCGAAGCTCCGCCCCTGTCCCATCAAAGCTCTGCCCCATCCTGCCAAAGCCCCGCCCCCAGCTCGGTAACCAAGCTGTGTGGGGAGAAGGAAGGGAGGAGACAGGGAGGAGCCTCCCTGTCCCTCGCTTGCTCGTCACTGGTGAGGCATTGAGATGTCCTCACTGTTTTTTTTTCGTTTTTTTAATTGGACAGCTTGGACCAATGGCTCTTTGCTATTAGTCGAAGCCATCCACAGAGCTCACACCTCTAACACACAGAGTAGGGGCTTTGACAGCTCTTGCCTAACTAGGTTAGGTTACACAAGCAGTGGGGAAGCCCTGTCAAAAGCCGGATGCAGCGCTGCCTGTAATTAACAGGCAGCGCTCCGTCCATGACAGGTTACACAGAGGGGAGGCTTTCCCTGCTGTGTAACCTGTTACAAGCCGATCTGAATAGAGAAAAAGCTGTCAGCTTTAGACTTGAAGCTGACAGCTTTTTCCTCTATAATACTAGGTGAGGCTCTGCCTCACCTGCCTCCCCTGACCACATGTCCCTGAGCAGAACAGGAATAGATGGGAAATCCTCCATTGGGAACACTAGTTCTGGTGACCATGCTGACCAACCATGTATTATGGTTATATCTCTTTTGCACACCATACAGATGTACCTCTTTTAGTTGAGTGCTGGAACAACTGGTGGATGGTGCCACAGCAATCTGATAGGATATGGGATAGGATATGTTGTCCGCACACCCTTTAGCTTCATAATTTTGTCTTTATTGACGGTTTTGCAGCATAAGAAAAGTTTGCAATGCTTCGGAACCACGCAGGATCCCTTCGTCAGGCAAAGTGTCAGCATCCCTGCTGACCACCAGAGATCCTCCCTCTCTTTGGAGGGATTTGCTCTCACTTCCTGTTGTGGCTATTAGACAGAAAGTGAAGGAAAATCTACCCAATTGGGCACAGATGGCAAAAAACCTGACAGGGATTATAACCCTTCCTTACTCTATCTAAAACTAAAAAAAGATTGGGCTTCAGCTCTATTTTAAGTAACTGGTTAGCCCTAGTACCACAGTTCCAGTATTATTTGTCACAGCTACACAAAGTAAATTCAAGTATTTCACCGGCACACTCTTGGAAAATCGAATATCGACATTCAATTTTCCAAGTGTGTGCCGATGAAATACTTGGATTTACTGCTAGTGTTTGCACTGTGCTATCTGTGAGGTCACCTTGAGCACCACAGATGCCTTTTTGAATTGAAAGACCGTAGGAGTGCGAATGGTACTTGGACCCTACAGCTACATAAAGCTCTCCAAGGTTGGGGGCAAAGAGGCTGATGAAGACAATTTACCTGCTCTCCATCAGTACACCTAGAAGAGAAGGACAAACTGTTGTCCTGTTTTACTAGCAGTTTAGTTCTAAATAAAGGGATTGGATCAACCCCCAGTTGAGTGTGAGGAATGCATACAGAAATTACAGGGAATGAAGAAAATTGGGTATAAAACAGAATAGTGTATGACTTGAGAGCATATACTGTAATTAAATTCAATTAAGGTAGAATGTTATATCATTAGAGAGGTGAACAATCAAAACCCCTAAAAAGGTTTTGGCTGCCATTCCACTTTAATGTATCCAAATAAAGTAATAAAGCTGAGATATTTGTATGTATTAATCAGATCTGATATCATCCAGACAGTAATGCTAATTACAGCTTATTTGAAAACTGTGACAAGTCCTTCTGGCATCATTAGTCTGAGCAGACCCAGAGTGTCCTCACATATTCTGTTAACTAAGCATCTCTTTCAGACTTTTAATTGGAATTAGATGGTCAAATTAGACAAGAACCTGCGCTCTCTTCTCTGCTACTTCCATTGGGATATGAGAAGTAAAAGAAGATGACAGATTCTTTTGAAAGTTAAAGTATAATATATACTGTACCACTCACATTTCTCACTAGGCAGTGGAATCGGCTTGTTCTCACAGAACTAAGGACTTTTTATTTTGTTTTATCATTGCAGCAAATTTCACAGCTTTTATCTATGCTCCACCAAGGGCAAGTTCACCCCAAGACACTTCACAGAGGAAACAAGTACTCATCTAAGTCTGGCAGGTAACAAGAATTAATAGTAGCTAACTTGCTTCCAATTAGTAGATAGTGCCATGTTCTGTCACTCTTGTCTGTAGAGGAAAGCTCCGCTACACTAGATAACAGGTAACTTTCTGCAAACGGAAACATCATCTAGATACTTACAAGTTCCGTAGGTGATAGCTTAGAAGGAATGTTTGCAAGAGTTTGATACTTTTCCACTCCTGAAAAGTAGAACACAACATTTGTTAACTTCTTACTCTTATATAGAACTAGTAACCATCTGGGTTGGAATTGTGGAAAGCACACACAGGCCTGCTAGGGGTAAACTGACCATAGTGCTGTCATTGTAGCCACCTCACAAGAACGTGGTTTTGGTGTAAGCCTTGACAAAGCCCTCTCCTTCTTTCTTGACTGAGATCCAGAACAATTCCACAATTAAAATTTTTAATACATACCTGTTCTTGGTCCAAGACACCACCAAGGTTTTATCCCATGTACTTAAAATCTTTTGCATTAACTGCTGCAACATTCTCCTGTCTGGCTTCCACTTACAGAGTCTTTACCCCTCAAAAATACATAATGAATCTGCTGAACAACCTATGGCTTTTACCACCCTTCACTGCCAAGAAGTATGTTCATTGATTTCTAGTCAGAATGAGGCATTATGGTTTTGTTTTTAATCTTTTTTTATAATTTTATCTTTATACAATCAAAAACATATTCAACATATACATATCCACACAAACAAACATAAGGAAGAGGGGAACATTTCCTGAATAAATTAGCAATATCACATAACAAATATATATAAGACTGACTTAAATAGATTATAAACCCAGCAAAACCCACAACAATGAAAAGAAATAGAGTACCCTCTTATTAAAACCATATTTCCATATTCCAAAACCCTACACCTTAATTCCCACCCTAAAGGTTCATCATACTATAATTAATCCAAGTATCCCATTTACTAAGAAACGCATCGTGATTCTCTTTACCCATTGCTATCCACTTTTCAGATTCCATGATACAATTAACCTGCCTTACCCAATCTGCTCTTGTAGGAACCTTTTGGCTCTTCGAAATTCTCGGTATTAACCTCTTTGCTGCATTTAGAAGATGAGGCAAAACTGTAGCTTTATACTTAGCCTTTGACACAGGCATCAAATGCAACAAAAAGACCACCGGAGACAGCAGGAGAGTCTTACCCAGAATAGTCTGTATTTGTTCTCTAATATTCTGCCAAAAAGGCTTAAGCTTAGGACATTCCCACCACACATGAGGCATTATGCTTTACCCTTAAATCATTTCATGCCTAAACTATATACTTTCTGGTCTTATGTTGGTGTGCTCCTAGGCTGATATACGTTTTCTAAAGAAGGCAGCACCCTGTAAAAAAACAAATAGTAGAATGAAAAATGTGAAATAGGTAAAAAGTCTAGGATAGTCCTGTATAGTTAAAAGGAGATTCCTTAATGCTCAAGAGCCAGGAATGCATGTTGCATTCATTATAAACACCAAAAAAACACAAAAACATATTTTCACCTTCCAATGTGTTTTGCCCAATTTGTCCCAATTTTATGCTGAAGTTACAGCCTAGCAAAAACTCCTTTTGTTCATTTCAATTTCCCCTACATGTCGCTTTCTGCCATAGCCCTTCAATACCCTGTAATCAACTCATTCTCTCTAATCTTTTGTATCTAGTGGCCCTAAAGCTAGCCACACACATTTAGATTGCATTCCGCAAGCTTGGAAGAGAGAAATCATTAGATTCTCCCATTCTGCTAAACAGAGTGGGTGGAGGAATCTCCCCTGCCGGCAATTGTTTGCAGACAGCTGGCTATTTCATTCAGAGAGCCAGCCCCTTTGGCTGTCTAAATACCTCAACAGTGACTGCATCTAATTGGATGTACTCACTCTTTTCATCACTCTTATCATTTAATATTCATAGCCAAATAATTATAATGATAACAAAATTAGTCAAAAACATTTCCATTGCTATAAATAGAGGTGAGCAGTGATGCCTGGCATCTGTCCTGGCCCATCCTCTCACTACAACTACAATATAAGACTAATTAAATCAATCAATTTTTGAATCAGTTTAAAGGAAAAAAAAGGAGAACCCTATTTAATCCTGACTTTCTGTTGATATTTAGAACTGGCGGGCAAGAGACTGATGGGCAGAGCACAAAGGACAGTGGCCATGGTGAAAGTGAAGCTGGGGATCTGGACTCTGAGTCTGGAGGTGACTTCTCTACTAGCCATAACTTCCTGGAGGACAATCTCGAGACTCTTCTGGGCCCTCATGCAGGTGAGTAAACGTAATTCTGCACATTGATAAAGTATGTTTTCAGCTTTGGCATGTGTTTGAAAACCTGTCAATGAACATAAAAAATTATTTGCACATACCTTTCCAGTAAACTGTAACACTGCAGAAAATAGTGTATCAAATCTAGTAAAAAATTCATAGAAACGCAGTAAAGTAAGGCCTGGAGCTATGGATTGCAGATTTTTGTCACAGCTGTGGCTTGGCGGTTTGGATCCTTGAAGGCTGTTGTCAGTGGTTGCATACCTTGACGGGGGACCCATCTGTGGTGTGGGTGTCCTTCGGTAGTCGTACGGTCATATGGGTATGACCGGGTAATAGGGACCAATGTGGGTCTGTGGGCAATTTAGTTACGTCCCTGAAGCGGTGTATGGTGGTGGGGGCAATCATGTACAAGCAAGGTGCCCGCAGATACTGGTCTGTTTAGAGTCATAGTGGCTTCAAGGACCTTGAAACCAAACAAGTGTATACAGTATGGTTATTGGTTTGTTGTTGTTGTTATTTATAATGTTATGTATAATAAAAGGATGCTGTGGCCATTTAAACTCCAGCTGTTGTGTGGCGTATTGATTTGTTAACATGAGACGGAGTTTGAAGATGGTACTTGTAAAAGGAACCTCTGAGCTACCTTAGTCATGACTTACAGTAATGCAATTTCTTATGATTATGTTTAGAAGCATGCTAGTAAAAACTTAAATGCTTGATGTTCCTATTATTCCTAAGTTCATCAAGCTATCACATCATTCTGCAATAGTGGCAGCAACATTCAGAGCAACCATATGTATAATTGCTGGTCAGGATCTGCTGTTTAAGATAGTGTGGCACTGGTATTGTATCCCCAAGTCTCAGACATAACTGCTTGATTTTCTACATATTTCTATTGACATTTATTCCTGAATAACCTACAAGGCAAGCAAACATTCATTGTTCTGATAAAACTAAACTCACTTAAGAAAGAGACAACTCTTACGTAGACCTATTGCTTAATTAACAGTAGGGGAATTTATCAACACTGGAGCAGACAGAATATGGAGGAGTTGCCTATGACAAACAATCAGGATCTCGCTTCTGTTTGCCCAGGTAAGATTTGAAAAAGAGACAGAGAAGCTGATTGGTTGCAGTGCAAATCTGCTCCAGATTTTGTCTGCTCCAGTTTTGATCAATTCCCCCCAATGTGTATATATGGGAGCTTTGGGTTTAGGAAAAGTGGAAATGAGGACAATCAATAGGGTGAGGTCTATACCTCTGTGGCACCTTAGGAGAAGCTCTCACCTTACATATAGAAACAAAGGACCCTTCGTTTCTATATGTATTGTCAACAAACTTTTTTTTTTTTTCTAGCTATGCACGTAGACAGGGCTGGTTTTAGAAAAAAATAGGTCACTAATTAAGGCAGTGATGAAATATGTAGTGACAAGTTCCTTTTTTTAAATAAGTAACAATGAATGTACAATATCATAAAGAGGTAGGAAATAATTTATTTCTTTAAATGACAGGTTCTAAAGGCAACCGCTTGAGTGATCTCGACCCTGGATGGATAGCTCGGCTCTCCTTACCTTTGGCCAACAGCTACAAGGAGAATATTTTCACTCCTAATGATCAAATAACTCTGGAGCCTCCAATCACAGCATCAGAGAAAGAAGATCTAAGGACCTTCCTAACATTTGGCAAAGCTTCCGATGGGTCACAAGATAACAGATTGGCCAGCACTTTTCTCTCTGAAATGAGCACCCTCTTCGAGATGCTGTTGACACAGAAAGCCGAGTCGCATGGGGATACAGCTTCCGAGGTGCTAATGAGACTTTCTGCCTGCAGCAAGAGTATGGATAGTAGAAATGATGGCACTAGGAACTAATAGATTGTGAAATTCATCACTGACACTTCAATTTCTAATTGCTAGTCAGTTCCTTTGTTAACTCATTCAATTATTTAGACAGGAAGTTGGTATAATGCAGTGTTTTAGATGCATTTTTATTGGTGGAATGGCTATGTGGCAGTCAGCAAAAACATATAGCAGAGCAACATATAGAAGCATGCCAGTACTGTTCATTAGCTATTTTGGAATATTCTCGTTACGATTTCTCAGTGTATAGAAGACAGCTGATCATAACAGAATCTCATAATAATTTTTTTTGTTCCAATGGTGCTAAATGTCCTCCACTTGACCACTACAACAAGGATGAAAATATTATAGCAGACCCTATTACTTCTCATACTTCTTTGTATTAAAGGGCTGTAGAACAATATATCTTGCAAAGTATTTTTCAACAAAATTTGTTGGCCAAACAGCTTTTGGAACTGTCAGTGAAGAAGGTTACCATATAATGCTATATATAACCATTTCTAGCATCCTGCTAAATAAGTAACTTAAAGGAGAACTATGAGGTGAGTGATTTCCACTCATTCTCATAGTTAGAGCCGATCCGTGACAAAGAAGCTGTCATATGACGGCTCTATTGATCGGGAAGTGAGCAGAAACATGCCGCCGATACGCTCACCTCCCGATCGTCTTCCTGTAGTGAGCGGTGACTGGCAGTCACCACTCCCCGCAGGGATTCCCCCCTCCCATCTCTGATCCTCCAGCACTGAGTGGAGGAACGAATGGGGAGGAGGCGGGCACAGCTGGCTATGCCTCTAGTAAGGCAGAGCCAGCTGTCACTCACACAGCTGGGTGGATCCAGATAGTATTGTTGGCATCCATCCCAGCTGCGGCGCTCTCAGTATATTGCGGGCAATAACCCGCGATATACTGAGCTTTGGGTAATGGGATGAGATTAGTATATGTCCTCCCGTGACCCTAAAGAGAACTATGGGGAAAAACACTTACTCCGTAGTTCTCTTTTAAGTTAATGCTGTGCAAGTGGATATACACCTTATTAGGGTCAGGGATTAGGATTAAAATCATTACTGTAGATATACAAAAATACGCTAAATTCCCTCAAATGCAGCTGTATAACAAACTCCACAAATGAGTAATGTAAATGCTTCAATCGAGGATCAACATTTTAAAGGTAAATTATAATGGTTTTTGGTCAATTGTATTATTTTTTAACTCTTTATAATATTTTATATTGTTTTTTATTACTCTTTGTTTAACAAGTACATTTAATACAGTACACCTGTGACAAAGGATTCCCCGAGCACTAGGTGCTTTCTACATAGGGAGTACAGCAGAGTGCACTCCCTTTCAGACACTCTCTGTCTAGTGGTATGGAGCTACTCTGATTCATTCTAGTGTATGCGTCAAATTCAGCTTGATTTCCTGGACTCTGTAAACAGCAGGCTTTTATCACCAGGGCAAATAAGGAGACTGCATTAAAAACACATAAAAGTTGGTGGCAGCATACAAATATACAAAATATTTCTAAACAATATTTCAAATTTATTTGGCCCAAAAAATATGTTTAAAATTTTTATTTTTTTCTCCTGACCCTAATAAATCAATTACATATTTATACAAAACCACTATATATTTCACTAAATAAATGTTTGAGAGCATAGACAAGTGTACATGGTTTATACCGGTTTAGGCAACCTTGACATTCCAGCTGTGCTGAAACTACAAACCCCTTCAGGCATTGAAAGACTCTGACAGTCACAGGCATAGTGGGATTAGTAGTTTCACCACAGCTTGAGTGCCGAGGTTGCCTACCCCCGGTTTATACAATACTTTTAATTGCTTTAATTCTTTAATGTAGTTCCAGATTAACAGGGCTGGCTTGTATATATTGTAAGAAATACAGGTATTGGACTATATTAGAGTTATGATGTTACTTATCTTTTAGATAATAAGCAAAGGGGCAAATAAAAGGTAAATATACAGTATGCTGCAGCAGATGTGGGATTAGAGTGACCCATGCTCTGCATAAATACTAACCTCTCCTGCTGTCTGCCCACCAAACACTGTTCCATTGTAGAGGAATTACTGCATGACGTTTGTTCCGAAACCAACACTAAGTTCCAGGAGTGTCCATCTCCGTGTTCCCCACAGCATTCAGTGTTTCCTCTCACCAACCTCCTTGTCAATAAAGGTCACAGAGTGCTGTGGGGGACACAGAAACTTGACAACCTTGGGCATATTGGTTTCACAAGAAACTTCACCCAGCAATTGCTCTTCAGTAGACCAGCGTTTAGATTCTTCCATACCGGGAACTGTTTTATCTTAAAGTGACACAATTCTCAGGAGTGAAATCTTAAATATGCATTCAAGTACCTTAACTATTAACAAAAATGCATCTTATTTGTGTATCACTCGGCTGTAGATCCTCAAATCATCTCTGAATTGGTGCTGACACTGTCCTTCCTTCTGGAGGGTGGCTGCATTTGTTCTCCATGGTCCCTGTGTGTGTTGTAAAGTAGCCAACACTCCAATCGCTCTCCTGTGATGGACTACAACCTTACGTTTAGTTTACTAATTTGTATTGAGATTGTAGTTCATCACGGGAGTGAGCTTGGAGAAGGAAGGACGGTGTCAGCACCAATTCAGACAAACCATTGGTAGGATCTGTAGGAGGAAGATAACAGGCTCAATCCATCAAGACTGCCTTTAGAGTAATCTTGCAGTATACTGTATATTGGAAAGTCATTCATTTGAGCTCATTGATCATGTGCAGAAATGTCCCAATCACTGGATTCATATTTTTTCTGTATCTACATATATATGCTATTTTCACAGTTTATATCACTGCATAATATCATCCTAGCTGTGTGTATATTTTTTCATGGAATGTGTAGGATGGATATAGGTTTATGTGGTTATCATTTCTTCCGATTCCTCCAATTACATCACATCACATAGTTTCAGTTAAACATTTGCTAGTAAACAAAGCTATAGCACAAAAAATAAAAAAAGCAAATAAAAGAAAAAGCAGTGGGGGAATTATCAAAATGGAACAGAAAGATTGCACATGGCAGTTGCACATGGCAAGCAATCAGCTTCTCTCTTCAGTTTGTTCAGTTAAGGTTTGAAAATAAAAGGTGGATGCTGATTGGTTGCACAGCTGCTCACCATGTGGAGAACGCAGTGGAGTTGCAGCGTGGAGGACATGTTGGATCTATCCCTGGGTCATTAACGAGATCAATATATACACTGATCCCCTGAAGAAGCCATTGGCGAAACGCGTCGGGATGAATTACGCTAGACAATCATTTGGACACTAATTGAAGGATAGCTCCACTATCCTGACTGCATAAATCTACATGTATGGACTGAAAATGTTTTTACTTACTGGATTCATTTTTAAACTATGGTTTTTATGTACAATAAACTTTTGATATATGTTTTATATATTTATACATGGTCATTGCCTTGTTACCTCTCTAGAAACCCTCCATACCCTACTTTTGCTTGTTTGACTCAATTGAGGGGGAGAGGTGTGGGCAGGGAGCTCTCGTCTGAGGCAATCCACCAGTTTTGCTTTCAACTCTATTACATAACACTGCAATAGAGTGATTTCTGTTGAACAGAATTCTTCAAAGCCAGCAGCATCCTGAGGACAGAAATTGAGTTGTAACATAGTTTTTATTTATGTTATTTATCATTTGTAATGTTTTGTTTGTACTTTTTATCGTGTTGTTGATAATGTTCAATGATATTAAAAAAATAAAAAATTCTCATAGCCTGATTTTTTTAAATTAAAGGAGAACTATGGGGTTAAGTCTTTTCCCCATAGTTCACCTTAGGGTAACGGGAGGACACAAACTAGCGTCCTCCCGTCACCCTAGGCTCAGTATACAGCGAGCTGTAGCTCGCGCTATACTGAGACGCCGCAGTACACCGCAAGCAGCTGCTCGCGGTATACTGAGACGCCGACAATTGTGGATCCACCCAGCTGCGTGACTGCCTATCTAAAGGCAGAGACAGCTGTACCTGCCCCCTCCTCGTCCGTTGCGCCAGTCAGCGCTGGCGGATCGGAGCGGGGAGGGGGGAATCCAGTCCCTCCCCTGTCACGGCAGAGAGCTGTGACAGGATCGAGAGGTGAGCGAACGCCGTTATGTGTTCGCTCACCTCCCGATCTACTGAGCCGTCCTGTGACAGTCTCATTGTCACAGGTCGGCTAGAACTATGAGGTGAGTGAAAAGCACCAACCTCATAGTTCTCCTTTAAGTTTTATGAAGTTCCTTGCTTAGAGGAAACTTTTTTACAGTGATTTCCAAGGACAATGTTCTGCTGAACTGTAATTCAAACATGGCATTGGCTAATACAATACATTTTCATTTCTCATCATCATCATCAAGACCTGGTACATTTATTCTTTTTTTGCTCTTAATTTAAACATTTAAACATGACCTATTAATTTAAACATGACCGTGCCTAATAAATAACATTGCTGAAGCTTGGGTGTCTTCAAAGTTTTAATCTATAGATTGCTCTCTTATAGATCTATCTCTATGTCATTGTGAAGTCACATTGACTAAGAACTGTCCAAGAGTTCCGTTACGTCATTAGGTCAGCAATGCATTATTCTGGCAAGTATAAAAATAAAAAATATATTTTCAGGAAGTCATCTTCGATGGCAATAGGTACAGAAGGTGAACCACGCTAACACTTCATAAATTAATTGTTAATTTTGACCGTCAATAATATGCCGTCCATGGCACTGAATGATGGATGGAATATTATTAACGGTCACAATTATAAACGATTTAAACAACTAGTGTCTTGTGTACGGGTGCCCGCTGGCTGGACACCCGTACACAAGACGCCAAACCCGGACTGTCCGGTTGAAAACCGGACGGGTGGCAACCCTAACTCCAATGCAAGTCAGGACGTGTATTTTAACGTACTATTTGCAAATAGAACACTCTAAACAACATTTCGGGGTCTCACAGGATCCCCTTCATCAGGCAAACAAGTGATACATGCAAGGGAAATACAGGAATCTATATACACACCAACAGTGATTGTGAACCAATCCAAAAGTCTCACTGACA